CGTCTCTGCTCCAGATGGGGAGAGACCAACAGGTACATCTGGAACGGTCACTCACAAGCTTTTAAGACCCCGGCCACTAGGTCACTCAGCGAAGTAGGGTACAGAACATTGTCTTAGAGGACTATGATATGCCAACTGACCTAGCTGTCCCCCAAGACAATGGTCCTAAGTCCCCAAGCCAAATGGCTCAGTTCCTCAAGGTGCCTGGTTATGGCTGAGAAGTTTTCAGAACTTTGCCCTCTGTATGTTCTACTATATAAATGATATACTCCTATCTGCAGCACATATCAAAACATGTGGAAATACCCTCCCTCAGCTATATATATATATATATAAAATGGGTATAGTCCCATATGCTTTCCCACTCTTGCATGTCTATCCATGTATCCATTTGTCATCAGAAGGTTCTATTTAAATACCTTTAACCTTTATTTAGTTTCATTAGTTTTAAATTATAGATATATTTTATTTTAATGCCTTTTTTAGTCCAAGGATGATGGTAAATCACCTAACACAATTGAAAATAAAAATGTGATATTTAAAATTCATAAAACTAAATAAAAAGAAATTTAAATGACTAACATTTCAAATTACATTTTGTTGCTGTTGTTTGTAGAATTTTTACTTCTGATTTTAATAAAGAGCAAAAGTTCTCCCAAGCTCTTATTGTACTCTGTCTTGCTGTGGTGCAGCCATAGGCGTTTGACAGTTAGTGACAGAAGGCAGTCCCATGCCTCTTTGACATCCTCACTTCCTCCACGAAGCCCTCCCAGATCTCCTAGAAGAATGGATCCCCCAATTTGCCTCATTCTCCCACTGCCATCCAGTTGACTTGAACTCATAGCAACCTGTATAGACTTCCCAGGAATGTAACTCTTTAAGGGAGCCAATAATCTCACCTGTCTCCCTTGGAGCAACTGGTGGGTTTGAACTGCCAACCTGGTGGCTAGCTGACCAATGCTTAACCCAGAGTGCCACCAGGCCTCCTTAACTTGTCCCCATAACAAGCCAGTTATATCTCTTCTCTGGCCTCATCACAGTCAGACTTGGGTCACAGTTATGGTTCTGGGTCTGCTCTCCCTAAAGCTTGTGAGCTCCTCGACCTGAGAGGCCGCGTGGTTTTTATCTTTGTATTTCTTGTAGACTAGTTGTTGTGAAGTCAAGACAATTCCTTGCAAAATCTGTCTCAAGTTTTTCAAGGGACTGGCATTCCAGAGATTCTTGTTAAATGTCCACCCTCACCCAGCAGGGCTACCAGGTGGTCGGCAGCTGTCATAGTAAGTCCCAGCTTCGCAAATGCTGTTCTAGTAAAGCATTTATTACAACAAGCTTTCGCGTTATATGATACTCTCTCCTTAAGAGTTAATTTTTATTTCTCTCTTTTTAATTGTGGTAAAATGTATCCGACACAACATTTGTTACTTAAGCCATTCAGCTGCACTCTAGTTTTTCTCAAAGACCAAACTCACTCCCATCGAGTCAATGCCGACGCATCCGAGTCAATGCCGACGCATCGTAACCCTGTAGGGCAGGGTAGAACTGCTCCTGTGAGTTTTCCAAGACTGTAACTATTTACCGGGGTCGAAAGCCTCGTCGTTCTCCCGCAGAGTGGTTGGCGGTTTTGAACTGCTGACCTTGGGGACTGTAGCCCCAGGCGTAACCACTAGCCACCAAGTTTCCTGTTGTAGTCCCTGAGGGGTACAGTTAAGGTGCCCAGCTGCTAACAGAAAGGCTGGAGGCTCGAGTTCACCTAGAGGTGCCTCAGAAGAAAGGCCTGGCGATCTACTTCCGAAAAACCCAGCAGTTTGAAGACCCTCTGGAGCACAGTTGCACTCTGACCCACAAGGGGTCACCACGAGTCAGAATCGACTCGCCAGGCATCACTCGTATCCACAGTGCTGTGCAGCCGTCGGAACGATTTCCAAAACCTTCTCTTCGCTTACCCATAAGCCAATAACCCCTTCACCCCCTGACCCAATCCTTAACCTGCTAACCCCACTGCTGTGGAGTGGATCACAGCTCATAGCAACCCTGCAGGACAGAGTTGTAGAAACAACTCATAGCAACTCTGCAGGGCTGGGGAGAGCTAGCTGCCCCACCGGGTGTCATCTCCTTAGAAGCAGACGATTCGCTCTTCCTCTCCTGCAGCAGCTGGTGGGTTTGAACCGCCAGCACTTGGCTTGGTAGCTGGGTGCATAACCACACCAGGATTCCATTCTCAGTCCCTAGGGGCCAGCCATTTATTTGACACATTTGCCTAGTGTAGCTATTTCACAGAAGTTGGATCACACACTATTTGTCTTGTGGGCCGGTACTTTTATGACATGCATATGCCCCTTGGACTATGTGCATGTGTGAACCTAATATCCTCACTTTTCAGGTGAGGCTAGAGGGGTTAGGAAACTTCGCTACGGATCATAAACCTGGCTTTCTAGCTCCCAGGCCACTGTTCACTACAGTGCTATCTCCTGCCCGAAGCAGCAGCAGCACCCCCCCACCCCCCCACATACACACACATCACCCCAAGTTACTCAAGGGTCCCTCCAGAGTTTGGGGATTGGCCAGCCTGGCTGGAGCAGGGGTTGGGCAGTTTGCTTGGACCTCCCCCACTCTATTCTTAAGACTCTCCCCACACCCCCACACACTCACCTCCCCAAAATCTGTGCTTGCCCTTCCTAGCTCTGACTCTGGGTTAAAAATGCTTTAAAGATGCCGAAACCGGCCAAAGTCTCAGGCAAGATCTGCTCCTGTGAACGTCAGGGCCAGCCACCCAGAACACGCCCCTGCTGGCCAGGTGGCCTCTTTGTAACAAAGTTTCTTTCTGTTTATCAATTGAGCGGCTCACCTCCGGGAGACGTGGCAGCCAGGAAGTAAGCTGTCACCACAGGGATGTTTGCTCAAGTTACTTAGACTCTGGCTCAATTATGGGATTCTTCGAAAAGTTATGATGGTCACCACGCTGACTGAGGCCACAGGTGTGGACAGGTGGATACCAAGTGAGACGCAGACAGGGCAATTCCAAGCAACTGAAGGCGCCGGGATGCTGAGTGGACATTTTGGCCCAATCATCGTCTGGCCTTTTCTTACTTGCAAAGCACTTTTTCTCCTTGCAAAGCACAGCCCTTGTTCCATTTCCCCTGTAGTCAGGCGATGGTACGAACAGCACATTATCTCCTCCCACTTCTGATCATAGGATGCTAGGAAGTTTTCGCTGCCCCCCACAATTACACCTTTAAGATACTCAGCTTTTTTCCTGGGCCTAAAGCTACCGAGCTGTGGTTTGTTTCCCCAGAAAGATACATGGAACGTTATTTCCATAGCTCGTCTACCAGGTTCGTGCTATGTTTGTGTAACAGTTAAAATTCATGTTCTCTGAACATGAATGTTCAAGAAATAAAAAAACAACCCCAAGCCAACTGTTCACCGCTGTAGATCTAGAACAGTGCTTGGGACACGGTAGGTGCTCTGGAAGTAGCCAGTGACTTTTCCCAAGTTTGTTAATGTCACCAGAAAATCAGTAGGATATGGGATCCACAGGAATATGTCACAAGTTTCTCCTTGGGTGACCTCAGGGTAGGAGCATGTCACTGCTCTCAAGTTGAGCCTTAAGACTGGTGGCTTCTGAGAACCCAAGGCAGAACAAAGGAGCCTGGTGGGACGACGGAGGGACTCCCTGCTTGCTGTCCAAGGAGCTATTCTTAACAATCAGGCTGGGCTTGACAGAAAACAAAACACGAACTTGAATTGAGCCTCACCATCTGCCTCATGGGAGGGGAGAAGAGAAAAGAAGGGGAGAGTCACCCAGGAGAAATGTTCTCGAAGGAAGCTCCCTGCGTGGCACAAACAGTTTGTGCTCAATCGCTCACCTCAAGATGGTCAGTTTGGACCCACCCGGTGGCACACTGCAGGAAAGGCCTGGCGATCTCTGTAACACACGAGGTCGACGCAGCCACCACAGGCTTGACGTTCGGTTTTCTTCTTCAAGGACTGAGCCAGTCCTTGAATAGGGTGCTGACGGGAGGCGGCAGAACTCTGCTGCTCTGCTCTCTGCATCCCACAGTCTGCTCCTGGCTGCCGAACAGACATTCAACATGCCATGCCCTGGACTCCGTCTTTACTTTGCCCCTTCGGCTGGGCAGTCTTTCTAATTGCCCCATTGCTGCCCTGGTGGTGTACGGACTGGGCCGCTAACCAGAAGTTCCGCTCCACTGCAGAAAGACAAGGCGTTTGACTCCCATAAAGATGGCCAGCTCCGGAACCCCAGAGGGGAAGGTCCGTCCTGCCTTGTAGGGTTAGAACCGACTAGAGGGCAGTGAGTTTGGATTGTCTGGGCCAGTAGGCTCTGGAATCCTTCACACAATCCCTGCCTGGGTCTTACTCTTAAAGCCTAGAGTGTTGTTTTGTTGTTGTTGTTAAGGGAAAGAAGAGGATGTTATATGTAAAAACTAAACACTCCTATACATAAAATATAGGGTTGCTAAGAGTCAGCATTGATTGGATGACAGTGAGATACATAGAACACCGATGAGGTAAAGGAAAAGATCACCAAGAATTCTCTTTCGCCAAAGGACTTTTTGACAATTTGGAATATTCTTTCATATACATGATACACACCAATAGGCATGTGCTTACTTAGATTTGTCCACGAGCAGACAGACATAAAGTTCTGGTCAAACAGAAAGCAATCATATTGATAAGATCTTGTAAACTCTTTTGCTGACTCATGGGACCTTCTCCATGCCAACACACAGTATCCAATTAGTTGAATTTAATTTCTGAATGATATCAAGGTACGTGGATACGCTCACATTATTTAGCCAATCTTTCATTTCTGCTTTTGCTTAGAATAATGCTGCCATAAACTTTATGTATATAGAAAAAAACTTTATACATATCTGATGCGATCATTTTCTTAAAATTAATGTCTACATCCAAGAGTTTGCAAATTTTACAAGGACTGCTATTTATAGACATCGAGGCCTCTGGAAAGGTTATATTACCTTATACTCATTCTATCAAGTGCGTTCTCCACTCTGTTATCATCGTAGAGCCGTCTGGTGGTTTTAATGTCTTCTCAAAGGTAAGTTCAACTCCACCCCATGCCATGCCCAGATCCCTCGGGTTCCTTCCTTCCTTCCCACTCTCACACCCATCACTCCGCATCTGAAGGAGCGGCCATAGTTTCCTGCTAACCTCCTTTGCCCCTAACCTCTCTCCCGTTATTTCCATCGTCCTGTGCAGCCATTCGGTGGTGGCAGCAGGAGCCCAGACCTCAGTGTCCTGCTTGCTCCGCACCCTCCTGCCTGCCCAGTGCTTGGTACTGGCTATCTCCCCCACTCGTCAGAGCACGTTTCCTTTGCTAAGAAAACCATGTCCCTTTGCCCTTTCAAATCCTTCCTCTAAACCAGTGGTGCTCAACCTGTGGGTCACAACCCCTTTGGGGGTGTGTGTGTCGAGCGACCCTTTCTCAGGGGTCTCCCGATTCATAACAGTAGCAAAATGACAGTGATGAAGTAGCAATGAAAAGAATGTTATGGTTGGGGGTCACCGCCACATGAGGAATTGTATGAAAGGGTCACGGCACGAGGAAGGTTGAGAACCACTGCTCTAAACTCTCCTCTTCCAAGCAGCCTTCCTAGACAACGGCAGCGCTCACTGTCCTCAGAATCCACCTGCCCTGTTTCTGAGTGTCAGCACCCGTGCGTTCTCCAGGTGGCACTGCCCCTGCCCCACCCAGCTTTTATAGGGGAAGGAATACCGACAGGCCCAGACACAGGCCACCTCAATCCTGTTCTCCTTCTCTCTCCATCCTCAAATCCTGGTCCCCAAACTTTTGCCTCCAGTAGGACTTTCCCGACCAACAGACGATGTAGCCTTCCATTCCGCTCCTGTAGTAGTGTGCGCTGCCCTCCTATGCCCGCTGACTTGGCAGCCTGCTCCAGCGCTCTCTGTTATATGCCGAGCAGAGGCTGAGGATCACATTTCTGCCTTCCTCCAAAGCTCGACCTGGAGCTCCAGCTGAGTGGCACCGGGCACAGGAGAATAATCTGACCTCACCGAGCGGCCAGGTGCCATACAAGTCTTCTAACAGTCTTTCTTCTCTCTGAACTGAACCCATCCTTGTTTGCCACACATGCCTTTGACACAGCACAATCGCAGCATTGAGCTCCGCACAGAGACAGGCACTGCCCTGCACTTGACCCCTTGCTTTTTCAAGCCCTCCTCCTCCTCCCCACCAAAGGAGACCAGGCTTAGGCTTTTCCAGAAAGGAGAGCAGGGCTATGAGTTCTGAGCTCACCCACGCCTATGGCAAGGATACTCACTGGGTGCCTCTGGCAACCTCCACCTGCTCTCGTTTGGTCCTCAGCTGTTAGAACACGTCTACGGACGCCTGGGAAGGTTTATTTAGGTCAGTGTTCCCATTGCTCTTAATATTCCCAAACCAAACTCACCCACTGCCATAGAGCCAATTCTGACTCATGGTGACCCTATAGTGCGGAGAACTGCCCTTGTGGGTTTCTGAGACTTTTTAAGGAACAGAAATTCTCATCTTTCTCCTCCAGAATGGCCGGTGGGCTTTGAACTGCTTACCTCTTGGTTAACAGCCCAGCGTGTAACCACTACACCACCAGGGTTCTGCTTTGAATATTAACAAACAAACTCACTGCCACTGGGTGGATGCTGACTCAGAGGGACCCTATGGGGCAGGGTCGACCTGCCCCTGAGAGGGTCCGAGACTGTAACTGTTTACGGGATAGAAAGACCTCACAGTTAGCATCCTAACTCATAGCCATGATGCCACCAGGGCTCCTGCTTGTAATATTACTACTTATAATAATATCAAGTCGAGTTGGGGTTCATGCCTCCACGCGGCACAGAAGGGCACTGAAGTATAGGGAGGTTGAATGACTTGACTAAGATCACACAGCGAGGAAGTGGCACAGGCTGAATTTGCACCAGGCCTAGGTCCCTGCAAAGCCCTCCCTTTCTCTTATGATCATTTTTTCCAAAACCCTTTCATTAGGAGGTAATGCAGGCATCATATCATTCCATAGTTCAATCACATCAAACAGTATTGTACCATGGCCACCACAATCAGTTTCGAAACATTCTTTCTTCTTCAACTCCTTGATTTCAGCTCCCCTTTACCCCCTCCTTTTTACCCTCCCCCATCGTACCCCCCTAAAGCCTCATTCTACTGGTTGTCTCTATAGAGCCATCAATCGTGGGTTTTGTATACCAAAAAAACAAAACAAAACAGAAACCTATAGCAAAAATTCATGGGGAAAGGCCACTCTTTTACACTGCACCTTATGGCCTTGCATTGGCTGGAGCTTGGAACATTGCCCAAACACACTTATTATTATATTTTCTCATTGGTTCTCCACCCAGGAAGTGTTTATGTGGTTTGGCCAAGGTTAAACAGCTAAATTAGTGACGGAGTTGGTCAGCTGCCTGGCCCCATTATGCCCATGACCTCCCTCCATTGGGATGCCCTTGGCTAACGTTGCTGCCACTCCTATTCCTGATTTGTGTTCTACACAATAGCCACACGGACAAGCCATGGCCCTAGCTCCTGTCCACGGTTCCTTGAGCTGCGCTTGGTCTAAGACCCTCCTGAGCTCAGAGGGCATCTGACACACATCCACTGTCTGCTGACTGTGGGCAGGGATTCCGAGGGTGAGGTCATCTTGGACAGCCCACGGTCCTTTGTGGTTCTGTCTGCTCCTGACTTCCCTCTTCCGTTGGACGGTCCTGTGCTGTCCTCTGCCCTGGTGCCCCTGGCAGCAGTTTTCCCTCCATAGCTTGGAGTGCCTAAAGCTGAGGCGTCTCGGACCCTCAGAAACACAGTGTACCTCAAACCCTCACCTCAGCCCGTTGTATTCAGCCAGGAGTTTGCCTATGTGTCCTCTGTAGCCGTCCTCTGATGCGGAGGGACAGGACAGTGTGGAGAGGACACACACCCCTTGGGAACGATCAGCACAAGCCTCTTTGGGGCTACAATTCTAACCTCTCCAAGTGCCTGCGAACTGCATCCCTGAGTTGAGGGAACACAGTCTCATGTAGGTGTGTGCGTGTCTCCTTTACACACACACACACACACACACACACACACACACTCGCACTATCCTGCCCATAATAAGCTGTTTCTCCTTTTTGTCCGCCTGGGATTCAGAACAAGGGACAGAGAAATCGGGAAGTTGGTGACAGTCACTGCCGCCAAGGCGTATCACAACCCTTCCCCCCACAAAACCGCAGCGCGCCAACCGAACCCCAGAGGGCCCAACGTCTGGAGGAAGGGGGAGCCAGTCTCTGCTCGGACCATCACCCCCACCGGGGCCCTTCCCCCGCCACCCCATCACGTCTCTCAGTCCACGTGGCACCAGCAGGGTTGTGTTCTGGGTTGGGGGCAACCTGGGGAGTCGGGGGTGCGGGGTAGATGGCATGCTGGGGGTGTGAATGTGTGAGGGGAAGAAGTTGTAGAGGTCTGAAGAGGGGCTGTAACCTGTCCCCCCTCCACTTGCGCCCCTCACCCCCGCGTCCAGTCCAGTCCGAGAGTTCTGGGCTCCCCCACTCCCCCGACTCATCTCTGCAGGAAGGGCCATAGGTGAGGGGATCCGCTCTGCCCCAAAGTTCAGGTTCGACAAGATCTGGGCTGAGAAGGTGAGTTGAGGGGGTGGGGGTCCTACGGAGGGAGGAGCTAGAGGCCGCGACCAGGGCAAATAGCGGGGCAGGAGGCTATCGGTCTGGCCCTGCCCTTTCATTTCCCAGTGGGGGCTGGAGGGCAGCAGGAGGGGAAGGTGGGCGGGCAGTGGGGAGCCAGGGCTAGCCCGAGGGAGAC